GGCGTGTCCGGAGCATATGGCATCTCTGATATTATATAGTTACTTTAACATGTGCCATTTAATTGTTGCATCTCATGTAATCTGTGTATTGTTCTTTGCTTAAGTTCTTATTACAGGATGAATGGGAAAAGGGCCATCATTAGCCTCAGGATATCTATCTATCTATCTATCTATCTATATATATATATATATATAGTCAATATCCATTTACTCTCGATAAACTTAATTTAGAATCAATTAACAGCTATTATTTGACGCTTAAGTATTGTAATGCCGATAACTGACGATTCTCGAGACGAAGTTTCTTCTTGATTTTCGAATGAGCATTCTTCCACCAATGGTTTAGGTCAACATTAGTAACTAAAAAAATAACTTAATGAGTGTGACTTAATTTTCTGCTTGTTTACCGTAAAGAATTTAAATTGAAAAACCCAGATGTTCTTTTTTGGGTTCAAGCTGTTCGTTAATCGACTGAGAAAGCAACATTTATCATCGTTTTTAAACGTTAAAGCAATAAATCTACTGATTTTCATTAGACGTTTGTAGAAGTGCTACTATCAATTCATCTGGCTTAATTATTTTCTTCTCAACTTCTGGGCAGAAAGAAAATCGTTGTTGGAATTTTTGACTAATTAACAGCTAAATTTGAGTTAGCAATTTATTATTTAGAGCTTTTATTTTTATGTTAAATATGTAAACTAAGTTCTACATTTACGTTTCGTTTCTGGATATTTTCAATTTTGACAAGCATACTTTTTGTAGAAAGGTTCCTTCAGTTCCCATCATGTTGCATTATACATGGATTTTGTTTTATTTTTCAACCGTCGTTGAACAGCCAACCCAATTATTGGGTTTACGACTATTAATGTTCAACACCGCAGCCTTGTAATTTTGAGCACAATCAAGAAGACAAGTGAACTCCTGTATCAAGTATTGTTAGAGATTTACCTTTGTGGAGGACTCTTTTATGGAACTAACCCGCATTTGTGTTACATGGAGTGGAAAACCTCTCACGGTTAGGCTGAAGGCAAAGGGACTCTAATCCATGATCTGTTTACCACTGAGGATTTTTTACGTCTGCACTTTGGTCGGTGCGAGCCAGGTGCGGAATTCGTATCGACCAGCCATCACTTCAAATTTCGCTTTTTAACCAGTTTTTTTCTCTTTTCTGTCTTTATATAAGCTTTCTAAGTAAATAAGTGTATCATTGATGCCAACTTGCTCCAGACAGCAATATATATTTTAAAGTGGTAGTTTATCAATTGTGATTCTCGGTTTAATGAATTCAATTTAGTGGATTTTTATCCACCACTGTTTCTAAATAATTTACAGGCTTCTGTAATTCACCACTTTATACTGATTATGTCATACTATACCCTTTAAAAAGCAAGCAAAAGTAGTAAAATATTTGCAAAAGTTACTCTGTCGTTATTTACCGTTTTTTTAAAAATTATTTTGGCGTGTCCGGAGCAGTTGGCATCTCTGGTGTATATAAGCTTTCTAAGTAAAAGCCTATTAATCATGTTAAAATAACTATTGATTATTAGTATTTAACAAAAACTTTTTTGTAAGGAACTTCATTATAATGCTATTGTTTATATTTTTAGATGGACGAAGTGCCGCCAACAAATATGATGTGAAGTTCATAGAAACGTCTGTCATAATCCATCACAATGTTGATGAGCTGTTAGTCGGCACATTAAGCCAAGTTCGTTTGAAAGCGCGCCAAGCTGAAGTATTGTCTTGCAAGCATCATGCCAAACTCACTACGAGAGCGAAAAATCTTTGGTTCAGATTGTTGCACAAATGTGATCTGCGTTTCAATTCCTGTGACAATTTGCTGCAGTTATAAATTTCTGATGACCAATATTATCGCATGCTTTCCTCATAAAAAAAATGGTGCTTTGTTGCTTTCATTAAGTTATTTATTTTTGATAAAAATTACGATATGAAAACCAGTACATAGTTATTTTATAATGTATCTAAAATTTACTAGCATAGCTCACAGCAGACTGTCTTAAACTATTTTAAAATCGCTCATATTTTAACATGAACTATGTTTNCGATATGAAAACCAGTACATAGTTATTTTATAATGTATCTAAAATTTACTAGCATAGCTCACAGCAGACTGTCTTAAAATATTTTAAAATCGCTCATATTGTAACATGAACTATGTTTTTATTACTAACACTCTTTGAAATAGCACATATTGTGACACTAATCTTTAAATCAATTGCACATAATGTGACACTAATTGCGCTGTTTGTGTAACCAATCTTTAAATTAAGATATTGGCCTTATGTGTTCCAATCTAAAGTATGGCTTGACATAGCCAGAGATATATAGCCTAGCAAATGAGCATATTTCTCTGTTACATATTTTGTCATAACCGAAATATTATAAGGAATTTTGAAGAAACGCGAATTTGCTCATAAATATCTAATAGTTTAAAAACAAATACAATTTTTTTCTATTTTAACATGTTTTTAGATGTTTAATGAGTTGTTGGTAAATAATAGGTATCTGTTGTAAATATATATTTAAAAAAATTAACTTTACATAATTTTTTGCGATTTTTTTTAAGATTGAAAAATTTGCTTATGGATTTTGCATGCTTCAAAAAAAATGTTTTTAACTCTCTCTACTTGAATAATAATTCTAAGCATTTTTATAAGTACTGAATGTGTAAATGCATAGTTATAAAACATATAAATATTTTCGTGCAAAATATTTAGTTTACATCAAAGGAAGTAAAGTATATTATATAAAATAAACATTTGTAACTTTTCATTTTCGTGTGTAATAAAATGTAATATTATGTATTTGATGGTGCTAAAAAATACCCACTAAGCCGTTTTTTTGTCTTCATAAAATAACCAGAAACATATGTAGTTTTAAACTGTCATAACAATTGTATTTTTATTCATTCATACTTATACTGTATAATATTTAAACATCTAACATCACACTCAATTTAAAATAATGTTTTATCCTAATTAAATAACAATGTAATGTACTTCGATGTCATTTCGAATTTCATTAGTTTCAAATATCGATGTTTGTTTGATTAAATTTCAATATTTTTTAAAAAGTAAATACCGTAGTATACATGCCAGATGGTTTAAGGAAGAACTTTCTGATTTTTCATTTAAAAAGCTGAAAAACTTATTTTGTTTAAATTCTTAAACTTGAATAGAGTAGTTTAAAAAGGCGTATATGTTTGTGTTCGATGACGTTTGATGGCAGATGTCGATGACAAGAAGATGAACTTTGAAAATAAAAGGAAAATTCTCATATATATTCGGATTCTGGAATTATTATAAGTAAAAAAACTCAAAATTGGTAATAACTGCGATTTTTTTCGCATAGCATTCCAAAAAATTCTAATTATATTATACAAAGAAAAGGGAGTCGGTGTGGACAATTTTTATAAATTTGCCAAGAAAGCTAATTAATCATTATTTTAAAAACATCTTATATTTTTTTTCTCATTAAAATTACAACTTTCATCTTCATTTTGAATATATAGTTTTTAAATAGCCTTTTTTTTTAGAAAAAAAAAGCTGTTTAAGACATGTGCTTACTAGCCCCATAACACAGGGGAAGTGGTCCCCATGACATAGATCTTAAGATTTATAGTTTAATCTCTTGTTGTTGATAAAAAAAAGCAAATAGATTTTTAACCAACAGATTTATGTAATAGGTATTTACGATCTTTGAGCGAATGTCCACATTTGCTCCATACTCCCCCAGACAATAATAACTAGAACAATATAATTATGCATCAATGTGCTAATGTGCTTTGCCATTTTCCATTGAGTACCATACATTTGAGCATACATTGTCTTTAAAATGCGCATAAATTATTGAAAATGCATGCTTGTGTAGCAAAGTAGTTCAATAAATAGTGTTTGCTAATGTATAACTTTAGATATTATGTCATTGAAAATGGGTTAAAAAAAAGCAATATTCTTTAATTATAATTTCACAACACAATATGTTTAGTTTTACTAAGTAGATCAGAATTTTCTAGGTTCGTAATATTAGCGATATTGTGCATATTGCAGTTGAAGTATATTTTTAATGTTGTTAAATAATAAAGTGAATATGCTACATACTGTATGTAACTATAATTATAATTTTTGCTAGCTTACAGTGTTTCAAAATACGTCGTTTTGCATGGCATTGTAGAGTTTCATAGTGATGTAAAATATGTGGTAGATTTTAGAATTTTTAACATTTCGGTTTTTCTATGAGAGTCTGGTGCTATTCAAATGACAGTATCGTAAATGAGTATACTGATATTATTTTTATTGATGTATTTTTATTGATGTATTTTGATAATGTATGCATAACATATCGAAAAATTAAACATTCATCATTTTTCCATTGTATATTTTTTCTAAAAGTTCCGAAAAAGAATGATACTAAATTCGGAAACTTTCCTGTAAATAGCAGAAAAAAATCTATTTAACATACCCTCCAACTTCCACGGAATTTTGATTGTGCAAGAAAATATTTTTTTTATTAGTAAAAAGTTGATGGATTAATTATTAGATTTACTACTCTACTACACATAAACGATTAAATCAAATATATAAAAGGTCTGATACTAAAAACTATTGGAATGATGGATGGACTATTGGAATAGTTTTTACTAACAAAAAATTTTTGCACTTAAACACTATTGTGTTTCGTTTGCACTTAAACACTAACGTACTAGCAACATTTATAAAAAGGCAGTAAAACCTTAATTGCTTTTGCATAAAAGTTATTCATCCGTATATGTTCCTTTAATTGAATAGTTATTTTAATAATAGATCAGAAGAAAATTCATTAAATTTTCTTTCTTATATGATAGTCAACTGTTGGAGGGTATATCAGAATAATTGCTTAAGGATTTTAAGCAAGGTAATGTATTTCTGTACATGAACATTTGTAGGTCTAGAAGAAATATATTGATAAGAAAACAGGTTTTTTCAGAAGTGGAAATTTCCTATCAATATTCCTTTAAATTATCATTTGCACGTTTCCAGTATTTCCTCTTGATAGAAGCGGCACAATCGGCAGAAACATCTTATTGTGTTTTTCCGCCAAAAGTTTTTTTTATAAGGAGCTGAAAAAATATGTGACGTAACATTTAATTTCATTAAGCCTTTTATTTCTTTTTGAAAACTTAAGTAGTTAAAACAAATTACTATTTACAATTTTTTTTATCACTTCTCAGAAAAAATTAGATTGCGGAGATTTTGAAATATTTCTAATAAATAAAACTATGCTTTTAAAATTTTTTTATAATATTTGACAAACAGTTTTATCGTACGATTTACTGCTCGATTTTCAATCGGAAAACTATGGAAACACATCTTTTTTTTTTCAAATTATGTGAGACATTTAGATAAGTTTAGATTATTCAACATCTCACTTTGCTAAATTAAACTTTAATTAAAAGGAAGGAATAAAAATTACAAGCAAAACAGTAATGCTTTTGACACATTTGATTGCAATGTAATATTTTTCACTGGTAATACTACTGCATGTCTTTATTATTAATAAAAAGTAATGTAACAATTATAAATAAAACTACAGAAATGTTTTCTAAAAAAATAATATTAAAATTAAAAAATAGTGCAGTGAAAATTTAGTATGGTGTGAATACTTTAAAAACGCGTTTTTAGCACTTTCGTTTAAGTTATGAAAAATAACCTAACAAGATTTTCGCTTAAATATAAAAAGTTGCCGGCAATTAAAATATAAATAGTAAAAACTGTTTTGCTGAAATTTTTTAAGAGTTCATAATATAAAAAGAATCCGAAATTGCCATTTCACACATAAAACATTCATTACATATGAAAAAGTAAAAGGTTTGGAAAAAAATTAAAACATTTCTATATTAACTTTATGTCAACAACCTTTCTTTTAGCAGATTGTACATGGCAAAACTGTTGACTAAGTTCGAAAGATCATCCTTGAAGCTTTCAGAAATGATGTCCCTTTTAGCCACGCAATCTCCGAATCGACCAAAATGAGAAGATGAAGTTAACTTATTAATAGATTTAATACCAGTTATTTTGAGTTTATTCTATAGAATTGTAATATTTATATAAAAATACTTTTGAAGCTATAACAATATTAAGCAAGCAAACAAAAAGCTGATTTTAACTACCCACGCTCATTTCTGTCTATGCAAAATTTGCATGGGTAATAAGGATATTATAGTAGACTCCCGATTATCCAAATTAATGTGAACCACGACTAACTCGGATAACCGAAAAACTCAGTAAAGGCGAAGAAATAAAAAAAGAAATAAAAAGAGTAGGTATAAATGTAATATATTTAACAAATACAAAATTTGCACGAGTAAACTACATACAATTCATATTATAATTTAAAAGCTTACTTGAAAACACTGATAGAGCATACTGTACTAGAATTAAAGAGTTTTTACTTAAAAAAAGACCTTAATAGATTTTTGTTTTACATTACTTCGGCGCGTTTCTGCAGCAATGTTTCGCCATTTTTTTAGGGATAACAGGAAGACTGGTGTCGCCTCTTCTTGCTGTTTTAAATATTCAGTAGCACTTTCGAGAGCCGCGAATGCTCAGGGGATAGAGCGTTCTCCTTCCAATACGGCAAACCGGTTTCGAATCCCAGTCGATACGAATTCCGTATCCGGCTTGCACCGACCACAATGCTGACCTGAAATGCGTGGTAGACGGATCATGTGTAGAAGTCACCTTGCCGTAAGACTAACCGTGTGAGATTCTCGTGGTCTTCCTCTCCATGTAACGCAAATGCGGGTTAGTTCCATCAAAAAGTCCTCCATGAAGGTAAATTTCTCCTAACATTCGATCCAGGAGTTCCCTTGTCTTCTGGATTGGGTTCAAAATTACAAGGCTACGGAGTTGAAC